AAGTACGCAACTTCGATACAAGACGATGTGACGAATGAAACAATCTAATGAATTCCAATACATATAATTTTTAATTCTGCAACGTGTCTTTTATAATTATTATTTCTTTATATGATAATAAAAATGTTATTTATAACTATTAAATGTATTGCAATATCGCAACTATGATTCAAATAATATAATGGAATAAACCAAACGATTTAATCATACATATATAAATTCTATTTCTCGCTTTATCTTCAACAAAGAGATAACTTTATGAGTCTCTAAAAAATCGCGAGGGAACACTGCATTATTACTGCATTAAATAGAAAATAACTAATCCAACAATGAGATCAGGTCTTTCCGAGTAAGACGACGTTGGATAGTATCCGATTGAAAGAAGAATGATCTCCATAGAGAGCGAGCTGTGCTCTGCTTCTCGTCAAGTTTCACGACATCAACGCAAAAGAAAGTTAAGTGATTCGTTGGACAGTAAGAATTCCGTTGCAGGAGGAAACTAATCCCAAATTTTTCGGACTGTTCTTATAATAACGCCCATCTTGGCAACGAATTAACAATTGTTACTCTTTTCCAAATTTTTACAAATAATGCAAATATTATACAATTATCGAATATTTTAACGATAACTTAATCGATATTAATTACAATTTTATAGTACACAAACTCAAGATTTGTATGCAAAAATATATTCTTTATATTATTACAAAATACAGTATCTTAACAAAATAAAAAAACATGGATAGAATAATGTTTATCGAAGGACAGTTGCAAATGATTATATGTCAAAGTAATAAAATACATACGTCATTATAATTTATTATATATGTGAGTACAAAAATTCTCAGGTACCAACTGTTCAAGACAAATCGAACCGATAACAATGAGATTTAAATTTTATTCATTTTTTCTTATTTCGATTTTATAATCGAATATTAATATAAAATTTATATCAATCTTCTTTTTTCTGCAGCAGTTACTCAAGTAATTAAATAGGATTATCTAAATAATTAAAGTAATATTTAGATAATATTTAGATAATTAGAGCTATCAAAATCTTATTGATATTGGAGTACCCAATCGATTCGTCTTGAATTTTTAAGTACGCACATTTTTAATTACGTCCATTATATATTATTACAATAAATTATTTAAATTAACATAAATCTTTTTGACAAAATTTTAACAGAAATAAAAACTAGAAATTTTTTGCATAATATATAGACTGCGTATGTATTTCATTATAGAAATTAATCTAAAAAATTGTTTAATTAATTAATATTTTGGAATAAAGGGATGTCCAGTGCCTGAAAACAGTTTCTTAAAAGAAACTAAAGATTAAAATAAAAAAATATATTCATTTGTAACCATTTGTTTTTTCTTAAAGAAACCGCAAAACCAATTACTTAATAAAACTAGATAATTTCAGTTTATTTAATGTAATTCACTTATCTATAAACAATTGCTATCCATGTTCAATCCGTTAAATCTTATTATTATTAAAGCAATATTAATGTGTTAATTAATGAAAGAATAAATTCTTGTCTCAGAACATACTATATTTAATTAATTTCATAATTAGACTAAAAAAAATTATATTGCCGTAGTCGTTAACTTATTGCCAAAATCACTGCTTTTAGAAAATATTTAAAA